CGTCAACAGCGGATGAACGACGCTGAGTGCAGACAACGGCAGCACGACGTGTTCGTACGCAATGACTAGCAACACGTTATCCTGGAAAGAGGCACCACTCGAGACCCTCCAGTGTGCTCTGGCAGCAAGATCGGCCTCTGTCGTCTTGTGGCGTGTCTCTTCCCTCGAGTGCTGAGGGGACGCGTCGCTGTGATTGGCAGTTCGCAATCTAGGACGCGTCGCGACTGCGTGTTATGCCGCCACCTCAACTGCACGAGGCCGGGATAGCGACACAAATCGCTTGCCATGAGCCCTCGCAACGATGCTCCAACACAGGTTTATGGGCTGGCACACTTGGACACATCGTCAGGATGGCGTTGGAGCACCTGGTCAACGCAGCCGGAGCATACCCTGAACGAACGCCAGCCTGACGGTACCTCTGGCGCAGGGCGGCCGAAGTAGCATGCTCTTCGGACGAGGTGACAGCAAACATTTGCTAGCTTGCGCACCTTACGCCATTAAGCCCGCTTGTCAAATAGCGGAGACAGGCGAGCAGTGGCACGCGCTGACGGTACGCCTGGCGGCTGCGCCGTATCGTGGCCCAATTGCAGTGTCGTGACACGCTCGCTTCACTCTCCGCTGTAGCGTATCAGTCTAGACCAGCGCCCGTTATGGGGTCTCTCAATGTTGCATGTATGCATGCGGTTAGCTCCATAGCACATGAGGGTCCCTGTCGGGAGCACAGGCTTGGCTTCCGGTTAGTTTGGCCATCGGCGCGATAACAACCCACGAAAGACCCTGAATGTTTTTGACACGGACGGTGAAGTGCAAGCCCTTCCTCAATCCACGCGAAAAGGCTGACCATGGTGGCATCTGTTCGTTGCATGTGGCGTGGGGGAGGTTCCGTCCGAGGAAGCGCCAGGCAGGTTAAGCCGTGCATGCTGCGGTGCTTAGGCTTATGGGGCTGCGGTGATGCTGGCCCCGACAAATGAGGTGACACCAGGCGGATGAAAGAGCCTCCAGCATGTTCCGGCGTACATGTGCCAGGGTGGCGCGGGGAGCCGTCCGATTCGTTAGCCGCGGGCTACCCTGGACGTCACGTCAAAGATAGCGTATGGGCCCCGAGCCCCCCCGCAGTAGGTCTATGCCTGCACTTCAGTCCCCGCAGAATCGAGCACTTGGTTCGCCTGACTGGTAAGGTCCTTGTTCATACAAGCGCGTACAAGGGCAGGGAACGCGCCAACAGCTTCAGCAGATTCCCGAGGTTGCGTCGATGGATTGGAGTCATAGGAGACTATTGCAGCCCACCAGAGTGGCAGTCCATGACCAGGCTGCAGATGAGGTCTACGTCTGCCCGCTTGGAGACCAGTCTCGGCGACGCACAAGAGCAGTAAAGACGACACAGCGAACCGCGGATGACGGGGTTTTGCTGCCACTGTTGACCGAGGGCGGGGGCTGTTGAGTGCGGATGGCAGACTAGCGCACTCGTAGCCGGTCAAACCCTCATTGACGCAGCGGTTGGATGCTTGCCCCCGGAAGCCCATAAGGGCGGTTTCCAATTCCACATGTGCTCTCTTTGCCGATGCTTGTCACTGTTGCGGTTGCTCGTAGGGTTGATAGCATTACACAGAATCGCGAGTGGCGGAGACGGATCATGGCTGCCGGCTTCAAGATCGAAAGGTGGAAGCTTAGGCAGTACATACCGAGCTTTCTCTAAGGTTTATAGTGCAGTTGTAATTTTTCTGCGATTTTGGATCCTTTCGCCATACCGCGTGCTTCTTCCACTTCCTCGAAGCGATACCAAGCATGCGACGATCAGATGCAAGAGTGGTATTATTCTGCATCCTGTGGGTTATCACTGCATAAGGTCGCGCAAGTAATCACAGCAATAACGCTGGACTGATGGCCCTTGACTATTACATGTACCAATCATGCATTGAAGATTCCCTACCTGGAGAACCGCCATTGCGCGTCCAACCAGAAATCCCAAGCTTCAAACCCGTGTCTTCACCCATAAGCCAATAGATGAGTGCCACGAGACAGCGAGCTGACTTACAATATTCTGTGCACGCGGATTGGCGAGAAGGCGAGGTGGGTTAAGCTTCTTACGGCACAGCAATGCCAACAATGACTATAGGCAGTCTTGCGCATAAGCCAGCTGACCGGTATGATGGCCTGATGCTTTAACAAGCAAAAGACAAAGGCATCTCGTCAAAGAAGGAGGTCAAGTCGTACAGCAGCAGATGTCCACGGATCTCGAAGAGGTTCGCAGCTTGGAAAGATTCCCGAACAGCAGCTGCTGCCTTTTTGCCATGGCATCGCCGGTAGGGAAGCCAGGCTCATTATCTGATGGTGTCAATAACAGCCCCAAACCTTCCGATTTAATCATTCCATACTTGATGAATCACGCCCCGATATTCAGAAAATTGTATGAAGTCCAGCAACGCGTAAGTTTCCCGCGCCGACATGGCCTGCACGGTTGATGCTGACGTTGCGTGATAGGTTTGGGAGAGTCCCAAAGCTGACCGACATTTTCAAAACCAACAATCACGAGCCGATCACGCGAGTAAAAAAGTTGCCAAGTATTTCTTCAGTATGATGCGCGAGATTGCCAAAGAGCTGCACACAGCGACGGACGCATTCTCAGTCATAAGCCGTGGCACACAACGGCCGCGGATTCTTGACATGTGCGCCGCCCCTGGAGGCTTCCTCGCGACTGCACTTGAATGGTGTCCTGAAGCTCAAGTATTGGCGTTCACTCTACCTCTTGCGGAGGGAGGACATAGAGTTCTGTTGGGGAGAGACAGCAGAGTGAAATTCAAGTTTCTTGATATCACGATGCTGGCTGAAGATATGGATATGGGTGTGGGACTAGCCAATAACGAGCAGTGCGGAAAGTTCCTTCCACGAAACATTGCGCCTCACTATCTGTTTCGCCTCGTTCTTTGCGATGGACAAGTGCTCCGGACACAAAAACGACCAGAGTGTCGGGAACAGCGAGAGGCTTGCCGGCTGGTGTCAACACAACTGGCTCTAGGCCTTGAACACACGGAACCGGGGGGGACCATGATCATCCTCCTCCACAAGCTTGAGGAATGGGACACAATCATGCTTTTTTACACCTCTCGAAAGTTCTCTACAATCACATTATTCAAGCCCAAGAGGTTTCACGCAAAGCGCTCGTCGTTCTACATGGTGGCCTCAGACATCCATAGCAAAAGCCCCCAAGCGACCCAGGCAGTGGCCAAGTGGAAAGAGATATGGAACGACGCAACGTTCAAGGGACCTGAGGAATATCGAGACACCACCCATGCAGATGAGCGAGATGTGGCCGGAGTGCTTGATGAATTTGGTCCGGGACTGATTGAGCTGGGTAATGCCATTTGGCCCACCCAGGAAAAAGCACTAACAAAGGCGTTTTTATGTAACAAATAGGAGTTTCCGACTTTTGGAGCTGTGAAGACTGCCTCGATCCGTCCTTCCTGCCTCCATTCTTTCGCTACTTGAGACCTTGCGACAGCGAGATAAGATGTCCTGGCGAAGCTTGCAATACTTCTGTTTTCTCGTCGCGGACTATTCAGACGATTCTTTCAGCTAACGTCATCTGATTGGATTGCAAGACCTGCGAAACCACTTGCCAGGTCATCTGCTTGACCATGCCCGCTATCCCCTCCTTCCGACTCTCGCCTTAACTGATCGATGTTCAGCGCTAACTGATCGATGTTCAGCGTCAAGTGCCTTCCAATACGGTCGCTCAGAACTCGCCACCTCTCCAATTCAGGCAACCTTTCACTATCGGCGCCTGGGATGAACCAAGGGAAAGAAACATGTCGAATAACGGCTTGCTCTGAAAAAGGCCCTAGATGTCAGCGTTTGTGTTTGGTTGCACGTGACATGCTCGTTCATTGGGAATTTACTGGAGTATGCTCCGAGAAGCATTTCGACGATTGCCGCACCGCCGCTAGACAAGTCACAAGGGGTAAGACTGAGAAGCATGATGACTCCAGGTATTTCAAAATGCCCAAAAGCCTTTGCCACGTTGATGGCTGCTTGAACCTCAGTACTCCGTATTGGCGGCGATTGAGACTTAAGCTCGGTCCGTAGATTTCTGATCCGTATAGCCCATGTATCCCAGTGTGCATCGTTGCCCAACCCAGAACAAACATTCCGAATACCGCGATTGACGAGTTCTTGCATGGATACTTGGCAAGACTTTTCAGGGCTGATGATCAGCTTCCCTTGCGAGAGGTATTCTGCCGGATAGAACCGACCGCTGCTGCGCCACTCATAAAGTAAGCGGAGCTTGGTTCCTACTTCGGATTCATCTTTGAAAGCGGCAATAGCCTGCAGATCGCGAGCGAAAACCCTTGAATCGAATTGTCGAGTATCGATCACTAGAACCTTGATTTCGGACAGTTCTTGAGGGTTCCAACTGCGGCCGTGACAAAAGAAGCCGAGCTGGAGGGCTACGAGAAGAGAGCTGGTCCAGGATACCAGGTTACATCTGTCTAGGCCGGAATCTGAACAGTTCCCCCACAAGTGAGTATTGAGGAGCTGAGCAGCCTGCTGTGATGGCAATTGATAGAGGTCGCGTAGGTGTTCCGGCGAGATCCTGGCGGCCTCAGAGCACACCTCGGTCTCAGTCGTTATTCCGAGCGCAGAGGGGTCCGAGACACGGAAAAGATACCTTGGAATGCCCTCTAGGGATTCATTCAGGTGTGAAATGGAAGGGTCGGGGTTGAACGGGGTGCTGAGGCTTGATGTATCGCGTGTGGACATGGCAGGCAGTGAACATAACCTAGTTGCGTTTGAATCACGAGGTGGAGGCCCGCGATGAACTAAACCGTAGAGGTGGGACAATGACAATTATATCTTGCGCCACTGATGCTTTCCTATTCTCATTGACAGGCTGCACCGCTCTTTCCCACCGCTCTTTCCCGCCACCCGGTCGTAATCGAGGATGGACCCTAAAGGGATGGTATACAACCACCTCGACTGGCCTGAAGCAAGGACGGCGGCAGCGTCTAGGACACGAACGATCTGCAGTCAATCAAATCAGTCGGCGAGAGTATATACATCTCCACCGAGGTTTCATATGCTGGTTAGTCTTCCGAGGCCACACTTTCCCCAAATTGGAATCGACTTTATTCAGTACTGTAACGATACATACTTCCATCTCTCGGATTGCTCCACTAGATAACAATCCGGTCAATCCGCACATCTGCGAACTGCGGGGTTTCATTGTCTGCTATCTAGAGACGAAGATGGATGTCTCCAAGAATACCTCCTTGGCCCAATTACTGTTTACACTCTCTCATGCCACCCCCTCCACAGTTTTTGGCTTTCGAAACATCGAGAAGTTTGTTCAAAAGAGAAAATGACATAGGGACTATAATGCAGTATCCAAGACTGTCGCCATTACGATCGATTACGAACCCAAACCGGTCGTGCACACAAAGGAAAGAAGAAGACCCACTCAGGTGTGTATGTGCAACGCAGTCCACAGCACATCCATGGTTGGTCGGTATACGTCCAGCGCGGCAAACCACCGAGTGCTAGAAGTCCCCAATACCTTGCCCGACTCTGATCCCTCGGGGCCGCCTGCTTATGACATCCGAACGTCCGTATCAGACCTCCATAGCCACGAGTCGACCAACCGAGGACAGTGGAGCCTGGGCAAGAGGCACGTACCACCGGGTAGATACGCTCTGTTAGATCAGGTGAACTTGCAGGCTTATTTCGTGGGCTTGTCCAATCCCTGGACGACGGCAGTATGTGTCAAACGTGCTTGGCGACGCTAAACCGCCCCTGGTCACCAACTAGCGTGGCGCCCGCTCCGAGTATGCCACGTGGTGCGGCTGACTGTGAGATACAGAGGGCCCAGAGCACATTCCCACACTAACTAGTGGCGCTTGCGTTCACCCCAGTCGAGGCGCAAGTAAGCACTTTCAAATGGGGGTGCATCACCCGTGACCCGCCCCGCTTTGCAACCCGGGTACGGAACCCTGATCAACGACTACCACCAGCAGTCTCTTGCTCGACACAGCGTAGCCACCGCCGTACTTCGTCTCCTTGTCTCGGCAAGCGAGGGTCAGTGTTTGTCTGACCTTCGGCCACGTGAGAGGGAATGTGTCTGGGCAGCTCCATGCGCTAAAGGCTGGATGTGGCATAAAGATCTGGAGCGAGTTGACCCCGCCAAGCGTTGTTGATGGCCATCTCCTCCGTGGTGTCGCTGAGTTGCGGTTCCTCCACTGTGATGCTTGTGAGAACGATTGCAGCATTCTGCTCACCGCCGCTGCACAACTCGGGAGCCCTGCTTCATCCATCCCACATCTTGAGTAGCCATTGCGGCGTCAACACCCTCACAAAGGGGGTCCGGAGAAGGGAAATAACGGCAAAACGTGACAATGGATAAGTTGTGGCTACGGAAAGCCCAATCAACTGTCAAAGAAGCCCTGCGTTAGATCGCAGTAGACCTGGCCGAAGACTGACGGTATCCTCTTCCTCAGTGTCACCTGCGATCGCGTTGGTCAAAATTGCTCCAGTGCTGTTCTCGCCCTGACTCCGAGTCATCCTCGACTTTCTGTAGGAATACTCGACCTTCGTCCGCTGGTTCAACGACCCTGCTTCGAGGTCCTTCAAGCCTACAAAGGATCGGTGAATCTAAGAGCCAATTGTGACATAGGCAAGTAAATTTCTCTCACGAGATCAGTCAGCTGCAAGCTTCTTTCTCCCCATTTAGTCTCGATAGTATTCAGTTACCCGCACGCCCCCGATGGCTGGCTTTCCATAGACTCCGGTCTCGCGGCGCATGGGGTATCCGAGCTCCTTTGGCAGAGGTGAGATACTGTCCTTGTCGCTATGATGGCCGGGTCGCCTCGAGTGGCACAGTAGATTTCGCGCAATGGTGATGCCGGGTTTCGATACAGACTCATACAAGCAGTTTCTTGCATCTGCTTCGCAGCTCGGGGATAATGTGGCTTGTGTGAAGTGATCTATCATCGTGATATCACCAAACAGAACTACCTCAAGCGTGTCATTGGTCAATAAGGGTGATCTTGCACGGATTGGAGAGACGGGACATTACCTGGACGTAATCATCAGTGGTAATCGTGAAGGAGAACATCTCAGGTGACGACAGGAATGACTGAAAAAACCAGCTCGTAAATTTGGGAGTGTTCTGCTCCAGGAATATCAGTACATTATGCACCTTTCGGCACACTGGTTCGAGGAAAAGAAACGACATCTCTCAAGTAGATCCTTCACGGGTCGCTCGGTATGTCTCCAGGATTTCTCGGAAAAGGCCCTCGTTTTGGGCGCCTCCTGATGGGCCAATCGGAGTGAGCCCGAGGTATGTATGCACCGTCAAACGTTTGAGACTGACGCCGCAGCTATCTTTTTCCGAACTCCTCTCCGTCATGACGCTTTCTATGGAGCCCTATCAGGCACCTTGAGAGCGCCAGTCTGGTTGCCCCGACCGAATGCCTGTCGATTGTTCTGGGCGAGCAGTCTCCCAAAGTACTTACATAGCCTAGTGGCCAGCTCCTCGGGCACTGGCCTCCCAGCCTACGATAACACCACGTTACCTTGCCCTAGGATCTCCGCAGAGAGCGCGGCACACACGATGGAACAACACTCCAGCGAGCAACAGCATCACAGGGGCCCACGATCTCATCGGCCCGGCAAGCATCGTCTTGAGGCCTGGCTGTGGAAGGATGTGCATCGTCAGGTGATTCATAGCATTGATCACCCTTCTCTCGTTCCGTCGGAGGCCTCGGTTTCTAGCGCTTCACGTTGCGAACTGGTTTGCAGCTACAACTGGGCATTTGGCCAGGATGAAAAGATCCACATACCTGGTAAGCTTGAAGCGCCTGGGGAAACATCACACATGAGTAACTATCAATAGGTTCCGCAGCAGTCTTTCAGAACATTTCCTTACCGGTTACCATCCCGAAGGATCGAGGCACCTTTTTCGTGGACCAGAATGCAGCACGCGTCCCCGACTTTCCGTTCGCGCCGTTGTTTCGCGCTACGGCATCGATGAACCCATCGTTTCGCTTTGATGATATTGATGTCCTGGTGAACCGGAACAGCCTCAGAAAGCTCCTCGATTTCTCTGCGGGCCGAAGTCAAGACAGCTTTCGCGTCAACCTACACCTCGTCCACCGAACTCTGGTCATCGAGCGTTGCGAGAGGACCGCCCGCGAACTGATCAGTGGTTCCAAGAACTCCGGGTGGGGCAGGAACTTCGAGCGCAAGTTCACGACGTACCCACCTGGTCTAGAAGACAGCACGGCACATCACCGGGCTCTTCGATACCAGCTAGGTGATCTCGCATGCGTGGTACGCTTTGAGGTGGACGCATGCTACGAGAAGACGGGCGAGGGTAGCTGCTCCGAGCCGCTGGAAGGTGCAATGGGGCGGCTAGCAGTAGGAGACGGTCCTGGGGAGGTCGCTGCTAGCCCCAAATTGCCAACGCAACCGTCGATGGCTCAAGCGACGGCGGCAGAAATCAAGACGGCAATCAAGCCTAAGAGCCCAAGCGCGTATATGCCACAGCTCTGGTTTGGCAGGACGCCTTGGCTTATCATCGGGCAGCACGCCAATGGAACCTTTGAGCAGCTGAAGATCACCCATGTTGCAGCTCGGTTTACAAACTGGGAGGAGAGACACCAGGCCGACCTCCGCAAGTTGGTCACTGTCTTGGCCCATTTACGCCAGGCTGTCGAAGAGCACGGAGGCAGACACTGCGTCGCGATATATGAGAAAACGGCAAAGACTCCAGAGATCAAAGTGTACTCTTCATGTGTTGTTAAACAGGCTGTGCCGGACGATTTGAGGCGCAAGCTCTGGAAGTCACAAATCAATGGCCCGCCCACGCTTTGAGAGCCATACAGTCTATTTGCTTGCTCTTCCGGAAAGACATCACTGTCTTGTGAGGGATGGGCGCTTCAGATTCGAGGCACCTCTTAAGTACATGCTACATAAGCCACTCGACTGGATTTTCTGCCTGACTATCCGTCGCCGGCTGTATTGTCTTCACGGCCCGTGGGCGTCGCCGCGACTCATCTCCGTGTGGGCAGATATATCGCAACCTCATCATGAATCCTCATCTGGATAGGCTTCGATAGCCACCTGTTGCTCCATTTGATTGACGCGACCTCGGGGATCTGCGGAAGCTGCTGGCGGCCTCCCTGCCCCCTTCACGCTCGTGAGAACCAAGGAACTTACTAGTCAGGCTGCTTGCCAGGCGAACGCCGGACCGCAGGGTGGCCCGCAGCTAACGAAGCGGGCGGCCCCCGCGCCGCCTCAACCACCCCGTGTACGTCGTAGGGCGGTGGAAGCTCTTCTCAGCGATACGCCTGAACATGGTGACCTAGCATCCGCGCGTAACCACCGCAGCATGCACAGCGTGACCTGCCCAGTCTGTCCATGGACGAAATGCCCCCCACGCCATATGCAGCGGACAGATGCCACAGCGTGCAGCCTTTTCGCGTGGACTGAGGAAAGACATGCATTTCGCTGCCCGTCAAAAGTTTCTAGGGCCTTTCGGGGGTCGTGAACGCGCCGATGGCCAAACCAACCGGAAGCCTGGTCTACGTCGCCGACATGGGGCTAAGCGCAAGCATACAGGCAATATCAGATGGGAATGAGCTCACCGCCCCCGTAACGGGCGCTAGTCTAGGCTGCCACGCTGCAGCGAAGAGAGTGAGGTAAACGACGACGGCACTGCAACTCGAATACGATAAGGCGCAGCCGCCAGACGGATTGTCGGCGTCACTACTCGCCTGGCTCTTTGGGCCGACGATCTAGGGGGGTGGTCGTTGAGTGCGTAGGCTAGCAAGTGCTTGCCGCCACCTCGTCTCAAGAGCGAGCTACTTCGGCCACCCTGCGCCCAAGGTACCGCCATATGGATGTCGTCCAGACCAGGCCCCGCCTGCAGCGATCATGCCCCCCAACGCCATCCCGGCCTCGAGCAGTCGAGGTGGCTGTACAACATGGGGTCACGACGCGTCCCAGAGCGCGAACTGCCAACCCCAGCGACGTCTCCTCAGCATCGCCATCGAGGTTGGGGAATGAGACATGTCACAGCGCTGCAAGGGGGCCGGTCGTGTCACCAAAGCAAATAGCAGAGGAGCTCTAGTGGTGCCAGTTTTGAGAGTGATGTGTTACTGATCGTTTGTGTTTGACGATGCCGTGCTGCTGTTGGCTCCTCTCAGCGTCGTTCACCCGCTGTTCGACGTGGGGATCGGACCCTTCGTTCACGCCTCCCACATTCTGATAAGCTTCACCACCATCCGTCAAGCTTAAAAGCAAGCTTCGGTATCTCCACATGTGAGGTTAACTGGACAATAGGCACGCACTTCTATAGTATTCGGATCACTGCCGTGAGTTTTTGCATTGAATTAGAACCCATACGGAGAGAGCTTCAACAGGGGCAAGAATCAGTCTAGAACGTCTAATTTCCGATCAACTACAGATACCTCACCCACAGCCTTGAGTTGTTGCAAGCAGTGCTTATAGAAGTACTCCGTACTTCTCGCTCCTCGAGGAACCCTGCTTGCATTCTTGGCGCGTGTTCACATCGGAGTGCCTGCTAGCAACACGACGAGACAAAAGTCGGTTCGCACAGTATGACGACCCTGCCCGACAGATACCCCTCAGTCAGGTCTGTTGCGACCGTACCCCCCACTGAGGGCCTCCAACGTTGCGCTCAAGTCACTAACGCGCGGCAAGAAACGCAAATTAGTTTTTATGGAACCACTACTGTGTACATATCCATCCTTTGTTGGTACAGGCCACTGGAAGCCCATCCCGGCACTGATCCATGTTGAATGCGTCGAACAATCAGTATCATGGATGTTGGGTGAGATCTAGGTGACAGCGTGCAGCCGACTTCGATAGAGTCGGGACCGCTTTGGACGACGTCTGGTGTTACCGGCTGAAGTCGCCTTGTGAGATGGTGAGAGCTGTGCTGCTTCTCAGGCCGCGATTCGCCCGGCGTAGCGCTGACACGGCCCACACACATGCTCGTCAATCGCCCAGTTGGTGCCAAGATTCGATTCTTTGCTCCGTTCCGGATTACGGGCCGACTAAAAACCGTACAGGTGTGTTCTTTGAGATGCGGCGTGGGGGGATTGTCCTGCGTCGCCTTTATGAACAGAGGTACACCGTCCTCCTCCATCCCAATGTCCTATCAAACGCCCCAGCGCCACGCCGAGTTCCTCGACAACACTACGTTTATCCCGATATTCGCCCCAGCAAACCAAACAGGCATGGAACCAGCATCCTCCATCAATCGTGCTAACGCTCAGGGAACCCTTGCGGGCGATGGATACGAACCGAATAACGAGGACAAGCCAAATATACAAACAGGACCCAAAGAGCGCTATTAATGACGTCCGACACTTACGACTACGTCGGAGAAGCCCACCCGGGCTGTTCACCTCTAAGCAAGTCCTGCGTCCTCCTACGTGACAAACTCAGTACTACTCTGTGTCGCTGTCATCTTCTGCGTCAGACGCATAGCTTTCATCCGACACGTCTGAGCCCTCCACAAAATCGGATTCGGCACCGCCGTGCTCGTCGTCTAACCGCCCCGTATCCGACAGGTCTGAGCCTTCGCCAGGTTCAATGTCAGAACGGGAAGGCTCGTCGTCCTCGTCGTTGAACATATCATCATCCACGTCACACATGGGGTGGCCCGCCGACTCCAGCTCGTCGTCGCTGAGCGTGTCGAGGAGTAGCTCGGCCGGGTCTGCAGAGCTCATCTGGAAGACTGCCCGTGTCCGGTGCATGGTCGACTCATGGGTGTCGGGAAACAAGATTCGCACGCAGCAGTGCATGTTGAGCATATTTCTTGACACTGAATCGTCGCAGAGGTCGAAAGTCGCCGGTAAGATCCCGGGGTGAACAGCGTCTTCCGGCGCATCGATTTCCCAGATGCGAGCGGCAAGCATCAAGACCTGCTCCAGCACTTTGATGGCAATGGGCATGTCTCCAAAGTCAAAGTTCAGTGCCTTATCAAACTCGAACAACAGGTTGGTCCTATTGTCCGACGGGCCGTCGTCACCTTCATCTGGTGACTCCCGGACTTTCAGGCACGCCAGAAGCGCCGCGACCTTGATGACAAACTCTTTGCCTTGTAAGGGCCCACAGAGGCAGCTCATGATGTAGGCGATGAACCGGTCTCCCGCGGTGCTGTTCATATCCTCTCTGACCCTGTTCAGCGGCGGGTACCACGTGTCGTTGGTCAGCCCGTTGTGAGGGCAATTGACCGCCAGGCAGATGGCGGGGCAGCACTGCTCGTCTTGTCTCAGCAGGTTGATCTTGGGTTCCATTAGCAGGATACTCCTGTGGCATTGTGATAGAGCGCCGCTCACCATATGGAAACCATGACTTCTCCCAGCGCGTCTATGGCGACTCAGCAGCCCAGCTCACGCCATTGCCAATGACGAGATTCATATCGTCAGCACCGTGGCTCCAGACTACCTGTCTCTTCGAACAAGGCACATTGTGCTCTTCGTACGTGTCGTCCCATGATGACGTCCGACATTGTCTCCCAAGAAGCGTATCTCCACGCGACCGGACTTTGAGAAGCCATCATCGGCTCGGCGGGCAGCGGTTGGCATCCATGGCCGTTTCCGCAACGACTCCAGGACTATAGAGGTAGTCTCGAAGTTGATACTGGACCGCACGACATCAATGGAGTCTGCTGTGTCGAAATGAGATTACCTCGCGGCTTACATACTCACCCGTGAAAGCTCTAGCTTATTTCTCCACTCATCGAGTTGACGACGAAAGCAGCCCGATATGGCGTCTAGAATCCTGTCACGGCTCACGAGAAGTACGTCTCATCTACATCTGGCTTCCATTTCGCGCTCAGCAGTCGTCCTCATATGAAACGGTCCACGACGCCCACCTGCTTCGGCAACGCACCGGCACCCCGCCGCATTGCGACGGCAATACCATGGCAGCCAGACCTTTGAAGCGTCCTCGTCAGTCAAACGGCCTGCCGCGCCTACCAACCGACATAGACAACGCCGTCGCGGCCTTGGGCGGGAGAACCCATGCAACCGACCTCGCGGACAGTACCATACAGTCTCAGAAGGCACCGATCAGTAAGGAGGAACGTCTAGAAGAACTCGTGGGACATTCCGGCCGCCTCAGGCAAGAGCTTGGTTATTGGAAAGGTGTGGCCCTCACAGGGACCGCCTTCATGCCCAACGTCGAACAAGCTGTGGTGCGGCTTCGAGATGTTGTCAGCCGTTCCGAGAGCGTCATGAATGAGACAAACGCTGTGTCTGCAGAGGAAAGCATGGGTGATGGTCATCCGTCTGGATCTGGGCCGAGTAAAGGCGTGAAGGGACAGGCTCTAGACGAGCCAGGCTTGCCAGCAGCAGAGGATGATCTTGGTGTACTCTTGGCTCCAGTCAGGCGGGGCCGAGAAGGGTATGAATTTGAGGCTGTCAAGCCGGAGATCAAGCGGACCAGGCCACCATACAACCCTGGAAGTTGGCTCTGACCGTGACGCCATAGAATGAGATTGAGCCTTCACGCCCATGCTTACAAATGCATCATCGCTGTCATTGTCGTGGGACACTTCTGTAATCGGGGGTTGGGGGCTTCTCGTTTGGTCCCCAGCCAACAGACCGTTGCCGCGCGCGCTGAATGCGATGTTTCAGGGTCACCCCTCGGAGCTCGGCGTAGCCAGTGACGCAAGCAGGTGGCCGGCCGTCAACGCCAGGTCCAAACAGCTTCGTATCGACAGATCAAAATGATTGGGAAGCGAAGAGCGATGCCTGCTTGGCAAGCAGACGACGCGTATCGTCTTGACTGGCGTGTCTGGGGTCGCTTCAGCCGTGGTGTTCCGGTGTGGTTTGCCAGTGTGTCCCAGGCTCCAGCGCGCCAACGACGTCCGTAATGGGCCCCACCTAGGCACCGAATAAATTGAAAGCAAAACCAGCCAATCGATCGCCTTGCTGCTGGTGGATTCATTCGCGGAATAAAAACCTACCGCGTCCCGCCCTGTGTCTGGGCTGCCTGCCTCCTGCCTACTGAATCCCAGCCTTCTCCGCTTCTCATCCTCCGCACATTGACGACCTCAGCAACTCCATTTCCAACGTCATCTTCCCCTCTCCAGCTCTTTATCTCTCCTGCGCGTCCTCGTTGACGAGGCCTTTCCTCACCGTTCCGACCGTTCATTTGCTGGCGTGACTCATTGTGCGAGCGGGATCGGGTACTCGTCGGAACCAATTCAGAGCGTAGCATTCGCAGCTTCACGCCTGAGTTCGTGACTAGACACCCCGGTCAT